AATTTAACAATATTTAACGTTTATAATGTAATAATATGAATCTAATTTTAACTATGTGTTCTTAAAAAAGAAAATTACTGTTTTAAAACTCCTTACCTCATTTCTGACCACTAACAATAAGATGAACTTGTACTTCCATGTCATTCCAATAGCATGTCTCTTTTGTTTTCAAATAATATTAATTTTTCTCTGGAACGATTTGTCTTACTGGCCATAGTAGAAATGGCGCAAATAATACAAATTTCGAGGGACATTTGAAATCAGAACAGATGGCGATAGGGAGTCCGCGGTTCTAAGTTCGTAGTGAAAAATGGCCGGCGCCAACGATTGTTTCAGCATCGGGAGTACCGTGGCCTGTAAAACCTGTTACAAGGAGGAGATCGAAGGCGAGGTGCTAGCATTCGATCCACAAACTAAAATGTTAATCCTAAGTATCCTTTTCTTGTAAATTCCCTGAAAGCAACGTTCTTCTTGAAAACTACATGTATGTAGCGCTCATACGACGTTCGTTTAACATTGCTGCAGTGTAAATAACTTTAGAGCTATCTATGATAGGTTTCATGAATTTTAGCAAATGATCGCTAAGCTATGTTTCGCGATTTCACACGGGAAACGTGCAATACCGCTTGTCAATTATTTGATCATCATCTAACCAGCTACACGAAGTCAGGTTAGTTTCGTCATTCAATCAACCATGCTGGATTTTCCGTTCCTTTTTATTGCTCTGCTTATCCGTTCTTAAATGTATTTTCACGCTTCACATAAAAACTTTCACTTTCATTTCTCTCAAGAATCATAAGCAGAAATATTTTCAATCTAACAGAAAAATTAGAAATTCTTCCTTATAACCTGAGAATTTATTTTATAGCTAAATATCCTCTGAAACAGAAATATTTTGAATAAAACTGTATTTAACTTTCATGTTTTATGATAACAACAATTCCTTAACTGATGTTGATCAGAATGTCCGTCATCCAGCGGAGCTCCAGCATTAAACGATGTACACATAGTAAATTTATCCTTGGTATCAGAGGTCCAAGTAAAACGAGAAGTTAGCCCTACCACTAGTGAACCACCACAAAGCCTTAATTTGCAAAAATTGAATAAAAGAGTACGTAATCAAATTGAAGAGAAAAAAAAACTGGTAATGGCTCTGCAGGCCGGAGTATCTCCAGAAGGACAAAAACTCTTCAGTACTATATCAAAGACTATCCCAGAAATTACGTGGAATGGAGCAAATATTGTTGTATTTGACAATGTCACGATTAGACCACCATATAAAGTTGATAATGTTCATGGAAATACAGAATCTGGAGCATATAAGCATGTGAAGAAAGTAGTAAGTATTTTAAAAGATTAAGAAAATAACAATATACATGTAATGTATCTATATTTTATTATTATCATAGGTTGAAAAACATATTAAAGATACAGAAGCATCACAACAGGCACAGCAACAACGGGAACAGCAACAACAACAAAAACAAAAAGGAGGTGCGATGCAATAAAATTTCAAAAAGGCACTATACCACAAATAAAGCTACCATGCTTTCACAGAAGTTCCAGTCTTTGAGGAAAAGTAGGAAATGACGATAACAAGATACTAAGAAACAAAAAAAGCCACTGCAAAAGTACTACATAAGCCTATCAAGAAAATCAGCATCACAGATTAAGTTCAAATTTATTTGAATGAAAATGCACTTCACGGGAATCAAGTGCAAATCAATTATTGGAATTTTAAACGAGTACCAAAAAATATTGATAATATCGTATGAGCAGCATTTTGTAAATCAATAAAACACACCGTACTCGATTTTTAACAAAGAGCATGATCTTCGATGAAAGATGCTGTTTATTTTATCTAATAAGCTGCCATACAATTTTAGGTTCTACTGGAACTATTGTTCATGTGCTCTGATGCAGGTGTGTTTTAGTTTAGTTTAACATTGTTACAAAATACGTTTAATAGTTGTTTACAGATTATTGATGTATGTACATGATGATAGCATGATTCAATTGCCATATGAGTATCAACTTTTTTAAAATATAAATCGGTCATCGTGGTATAATTTAAGCCCGTATGAAACGGTTCAATATATTTTTAATTACTATCGCAAGTGGAAAAACAAATGATCAACGAAAATTTTCATACGCGATCCATTCGACTTCGATGATACTGTTTGAAATCTTACGTTCACTCGCTAATTGTAAAATCAATTTTTATTAAATCACTCATTATATTATATTATATCGATCTTTTGAAATTTGTAAACAAAAAAAAAAAAAAAAGAAGAGAAAAAATGTAAACATTGCACTTCATCACGCCTGCGTCGGCACGAGACGTCTTCAGTCACGATACGACATTGTAAAATGAAGGACATTCCCTTGCATAGAGCAAGTTATAAAATTGTTATTTAAAGAAACATCAACCTTGGTTTATGCAAGGGCAACCTAATTCTAATAATAAACCAGGAATAATTTCATTTACAATGATGGAATACAGAACTCGTCTCGTGCCCTTTACCTTCTGAACGCGGAGAAGATATAAGACAGAAGAAAAAAAAGAAAGATTATAAAAATTAATTACATGAAAAGACACAAATAAATGTAATATAAATTCTATTATCAATGTTTTATATTTATTATTCCTTGATCGATACTTCTACTGAAAAAATATACACTATTATATCCTATGCTAATTATGCATATATATTTCCTATACTAATAAAAAAAATTTCCTATAAAAATAATGCAATTTTTATTCTATATTTTCGTCTAGTTCTTGAATTGTTTCTACAATGTTTGTATTTCGTATAATTGTATTCAAGTCATGTGTTACACGTGCAATTCGAGCAGCAGCTTTAAACTTAATAGTCATTCGTTGCTTTTCGGTTTTTTTTTTCCACTGAAAAAGAAATTAAATAACACATTAGTATTTTATAAAAATATGAAGTATATTTTTTTATTTTACAAACAAAATATATATACACGATAAAATTTTTCGTTCCCCCAAAAAATGAAACTGCAAGATAGATTTTACAAGATAGATATAATTTGAAAAAATAATTTTTTTATCTAATCTATGATTAATTATCATATTCATGAAATATTTGTAATATATATAAATATATATGAATTTTCATTTAAAACTGTAATAAATTTTAATTAATAAATAAATATCTATCTTCTTATTAAGTTTTTAACACAATATTTACGATTAGTACTTTTTTTAAATATAGTTGGTATGAAAAAAGTAACTAGATTTGAAACTTTCTCTTCTCTTAAAGGAAAAGCGAGAAAGAGAAAGAAACAAAGAGAAAATCGTGCTTGAGTGTTTTGGGTGAACGTTTTGAGTTTATTGCACTATACGCTTGTACTATATGTAATTTTATATTTTTCATAATCAAATGAAATAAGGTAATTCCGATCACTTTTATCGAAAATTAAACGCATTTTTAATTCCATAAAACGTTATATAGAACTATATACAGAAATTACGACTAAATTCGATTTTGAGCGGGACATTACATTAAACGAAATTTTTACAAAATCGATTGTAAATAAATGTATCAGAGATTAAATTTTATCAAACTTATTTGTTCAATTCAATGAATTTATGAAACATAATAATAATTTTTTTAATAACCTTAATGGTCAATGCGGCAAGTGTTTACCCTAACCTATTTCTAAAGTTGATAAATCAGTGACGAAATAAAAAAACTTTATATTGAACAATTTGGATCGGAATATTAAAAGAAAAGGAATCAAGATAAAAGTCATAAAATCAATGGGAGACAAAAATTATTCTCCTTTATGTACAGTTTCTACAATCTCTTTGAAAACACGTTTTGTTTGTTTACTATGTGTGTGATGATATTCTCAATTGTTTACTTACATCTTCATCACGAGATGGTAAGTTTGCAACATATTCTTTCATATTTTCTTTTTTAGGATCTGCTATGACTAAAACAGAAACACAACCATCCACTGTTCCAAGAACTATACTTTTACCATCATATGTGCTATCGATAGCACTCAATTCTGTTTGAACTCTGTAATTTGCTATCATTTCACAATCTGATGATCTATAAATTAGATATATATCATAGATATATATATTTTTTTAAAATGTAGTTTTTTATATATTTACCTAAATACACGTATAGTTTTTCTTCCACTGTGATAATAAAGAACATATTCATCCGTGCGGTTAAACATGGATATTACAGTAAATACACCTTCTGCGACCTTAGGAATATAAGTCTTGATAGTGGTACCTTTTTTCAATTCCAAAAGCTCTAAGCCACCTCTATAATATCAAAATCATGAAAATAATATTTCTTTCTTTTTCAATTGCACAATATATAACTACCTGCTGGGTGCATATAAAGTATATTTCCCATCTTTGCTAATATTCCCGCTCCATTTAAGAATTGTACGGATAATTTTCTTTTTATTTATATCCAAAATAATACCTTTATCAGATCCAATAATTCCTATCCAATATGATTTATTTGGCATAGGAGTGATACATAAAATATCCTATTAAAATAATTATTTATTCTATAAAAAGCAAATTATATATTGTTTAAATTAATATTCTTACTTTAAATCCCGGTAATCTTATTGGTATTTTATTTATCAATGCTCCTGTATTCGCATTGTAAATAATAACACAATCTCTGTTACCCTTATCAGCAGCAGGAGCAATCAAAAAAGAATTGTCAGAAGTCATCACAACATTTCGAAATGATGTACTTGTATGACTTCTGACCAAGTATTCCAACGTAAATATTGTTTTTCCATCTATTAATTACAATTACCATATATTAATTGTTAATCAATTAAAAATCTTGAAAATTCTCTATTCTTCAATCATCAATCATCAATTAACAATATACCGGGAATAGTTCTCATAAAAAGAGTCGCAGTGGTTTTCATACTTTCAACTCCAGAGGGATTTTTCGGTCTTGAAACGGTTATAAATTTAGATGAATTTTCAAATAACGTTAATTGTCTCACGTGTTGTTGTTCCTCTTTGAACAATACTTGTTCCGTAATTCTATTCCATATTAATACATTACCCGATTCTGTGGAAACAATATACCTGAAAGGAGAAACATATCGTAAACGAATTGTAAACACATGAATATATATATATATATATATGTATATATTATTGTGATAATCCAATTACTAACTTTCCATCGTGAGTTATACAAGCGTGAGTAACAATCGCCCCTAAAGGACTATCCGCCAGTTTCGAGATCAATCTTCCCGTTTGCAAATCCCAAATTCCTACACAATCTCTCGTCACTATGGCTGCTATATTACATTCTTCAGCCAAGCTTTGAATTGACGAAAAAGAAATTTCGATAAAAAATAAAGTCGACTTATATCAGGTAAGCGATAAAATTCAATATACCTTATCATATCGATTTGTAACTCGTGTCTGTCTATTACGTGAACCTGCTCAAAGATATTGTTTATATTCCAAACTTTTACGCTTCTGTCGATACTCGATGTTACCACGCTGTTCCAATTTCCAACAGTCAATGCTTCTAACTGAATAATTCTCGCGAAATGGGCATCCAATATTTTCACCAACTCGCTTGTCTCGAGATTCCAAACATATAAATTTTTCCTACGGAAAAAGGATGCAATTTTCGTTCCATCTTTTTCTTTGTTTTTTTTTTTCTGTTAATGCTATTATTTAATTTATCATAAATCACACCTTACGCCAGCAACGGCATAATTCTTGGTGCCACTGATCATTATCGAATTGGAATACATCATTTTCGTGCTAATGTTTCGAACTCCATTCGGCAACATTAAGACGTGTGCATCGCTTTTATCTTCTAAAAACCACACGATAAAACCATTGGCAGATGTGGCTAAAAGCATCTCCTCTTCCCTGTCCAATTTCAATTGCAACAAGTATTCGACATTATCGTTGAAAGCTCTTGGCATATCGAAAACTTTCTCCCATTGGGACGATGTTTCGTCGCTTGTGTATTTCGTGACTCGATAATCGTCCTTACTCGTACAAGCGTATAAAACTTGTTTATTATTGGTCATAACCATCACGCTGTTATAAAATAAAACCTGTTATAGAAGGCTATCAAATTAATAATTTAATCGATGATTCACCTATGAAAATACAATGGATCCAATGATCTCTTCTTCCTATAAGTATGCAAAAGCATATTGGTATCTTCTATATTTCCAGACCAAAACACTATTCTATATTCATCCAAATTAGTGTGTTCCACAGCTACTCAAAAAGACATACATAATTCTTCCATAATTTTTTCAATTTTTCCACGATTATACTAACACGATTCTATCTTACTCACACAAAATTGGCCACTTGTTGGAATCCTCTGGATTCGTGTGCATATCCAACAAGTTTCCTCTCAAATCGAACCTGTACCAGCCTAATTTACCGTAGACGAAAAAGAATTGATTCATCAGGTGTATTCCGCACACTGGATCTTTATTTGGAAATGGATTATCGATAATTACAAACTCGCTCGTCAGTGTATTCAATACGACGCTCTGTTTAAAAAAAAAATCGCGAATTTCAAAGCAAAAATTTGTAAAAAAAAAAATAAAATAAAATAAAATAAAAGGTTATAATAAATAATCGACATTGAGCTAATTACTTGATTATTAGTCGTAAACGCAGCAGCGTATCTATTGTCAGGGCTCAAAACTAAATGTTGCATAATTCCTTCAATACCGGGATTTACATCTCTGGTCATGTCGCTGGTGCTCAGATCCCAGGTGATGAATCGGTTTGATATGGAAACGACGTATCGATAATCCGACGTTAGACAAAATCCAAATACAGCGAATTGATGGCCCTCCAAAGAATACTGGAAAAGTTTAAAGGATCGTAAAGGAATTTTATTTTTCGTTTTATCGGGCAATTTCGTCCAATTACTTTCAACGGCCCTCCAGGAGTGTGTAGACAGTGATAAACCGGAAGAAGGGCGCAATTCTTTGCACCGTCGTTATCGCACGCTCGTAGCAGCATTTTCACGTTCACGTTCCCACCTATTTCTGGCAATAATCGACCTATTAGTTGTGGTGCCAGCATATCTGGATGTGATCCTAAAATTGCACCCCCTAATCTAAGCGCATCAGCAACTAACATCAACTCTCTAGGACGGAAATGAATATTTGTTAGTAAGAACATCAACTTTGCTCTTTCTTCGTTTCCAATAATCATATTCTCCAATTGATTACCTAACGATGTTTTGATTATCGATGAAATTATAGGCGTCCTCGAAATCCGAAAGTACAGCTTGTAACGGACAAGAACTCAGTTTTGCATGAAGCCATTCGTAATTGAACAAAACATTTTCGAACAAATCGTCGAAACGTCGCGATCTGACCAAGTGAAAGGGTAATTCGCCGAACTATAATTAAAATTCGAATTAATTTTGTTTTCTCAAAAAAAAAAAACAAAATATTTTCATTTATCGTATACCTTTCTTAAATTGTATCTACTAATTGTTCCTTCCTTCGAATAAAATGCTAAAGGTTGTTCAGGTACTTTTCTGTCTGCCACTCCTTCCTTATCCGTCAAATTGAATCTATATTACAAATATAATTTA